TGAAGACTTGTTGATGTATGGAAGACGGGAGGAGGGAAGAGGATGGAGGAGTTACTATTGTTTGGAAGGAGAATCCTCTTCCATAAAGACCTCAAGTACCAAGTCCTTTTCTAGGCTTACTTCCCTTCATTGATTTTTAATGCCACTAGGACCAGCTTGAGTCACTGGACCCCTGTTGCTCAAAAAAGTGTTCCAGAGAGGTCTGTTTCTGGCATATGTTAGGAATTGTGGTGGCAGCAGGGGAGTGTGTTGGGAGACAGGACAAGATAGTCCTTCAATATGACACTAATATCAACTCGACGGCTTATTTATCTAGCAAAATTCATCTAATATGACATAACACACACTATTAATAACACAGAAACATTCTATATACTCTAGAATGAATAAAATACATTATTATTATTAAATTATTATTAAATTATTAAATTATTATTAAATTATGGGGAATCAAATTCAAAATGGGAATTGACACAGTTACTTTTTGCTGATGATACTGTGCTTATGGGAGATTCTAAAGAAAAATTGCAAAGGTTAGTGGATGAGTTTGAGAATGTGTGTAAAGGTAGAAAGTTGAAAGTGAACATAGAAAAGAGTAAGGTGATGAGGGTATCAAATGATTTAGATAAAGAAAAAATTGGATATCAAATTGGGAGGAGGAGCATGGAAGAAGTGAATGTTTTCAGATACTTGGGAGTTGACGTGTCAGTGGATGGATTTATGAAGGATGAGGTTAATCATAGAATTGATGAGGGAAAAAAGGTGAGTGGTGCGTTGAGGTATATGTGGAGTCAAAAAAAAATTATCTATGGAGGCAAAGAAGGGAATGTATGAAAGTATAGTAGTACCAACACTCTTATATGGATGTGAAGCTTGGGTGGTAAATGCAGCAGCGAGGAGACGGTTGGAGGCAGTGGAGATGTCCTGTCTAAGGGCAATGTGTGGTGTAAATATTATGCAGAAAATTCGGAGTGTGGAAATTAGGAGAAGGTGTGGAGTTAATAAAAGCATTAGTCAGAGGGCAGAAGAGGGGTTGTTGAGGTGGTTTGGTCATTTAGAGAGAATGGATCAAAGTAGAATGACATGGAAAGCATATAAATCTATAGGGGAAGGAAGGCGGGGTAGGGGTCGTCCTCGAAAGGGTTGGAGAGAGGGGGTAAAGGAGGTTTTGTGGGCAAGGGGCTTGGACTTCCAGGAAGCGTGCATGAGCGTGTTAGATAGGAGTGAATGGAGACGAATGGTACTTGGGAACTGACGATCTTTTGGAGTGTGAGCAGGGTAATATTTAGTGAAGGGATTCAGGGAAACCGGTTATTTTCATATAGTCGGACTTGAGTCCTGGAAATGGGAAGTACAATGCCTGCACTTTAAAGGAGGGGTTTGGGATATTGGCAGTTTGGAGGGATATGTTGTGCATCTCTATACATATATGCTTCTAAACCTTTATATTCTGAGCACCTCTGCAAAAGCAGTGATAATGTGTGAGTGTGGTGAAAGTGTTGAATGATGATGAAAGTATTTTCTTTTTGGGGATTTTCTTTTTTTTTTTTTTGGGTCACCCTGCCTCGGTGGGAGACGACCGATTGTTGAAAAAAAAAAAAATTTTATTTTTTTTTTATTATAATGGCCGACCCCCACCAAGGCAGGGGGGCCCGAAAAAAAAAAACTTTCCCCATCATTCACTCCATCACTGTCTTGCCCAGAAGGGTGCTTTACACTACAGTTTTTAAACTGCAACATTAACACCCCTCCTTCAGAGTGCAGGCACTGTATTTTCCCATCTCCGGACTCAAGTCCGGCCTCCCGGTTTCCCTGAACCCCTTAAATAAATGTTACTTTGCTCACACTCCAACAGCACATCAAGAATTAAAAACCATTTGTCTCCATTCACTCCTAATCAAACACGCTCACGCATGCCTGCTGGAAGTCAAGCCCCTCGCACACAAAACCCCCTTTACCCCCTCCCTCCCGCTTTCCTAGGCCGACCCCTACCCCGCCTTCCTTCCATACAGACTGATACACTCTTGAAGTCACTCTGTTTCGCTCCATTCTCTCTACATGTCCGAAACCACCTCAACAACCCTTCCTCAGCCCCCCTGGACAACAGTTTTGGTAATCCCGCACCTCTCCTAACTTCCAAACACGAATCTCTGCATTATATTCACACCACACATTGCCCTCAGACATGACATCTCCACTGCCTCCAGCCTTCTCCTCGCTGCAAACATTCATCACCCACGCTTCACACCATATAAGAGCGTTGGTAAAATATACTCTCATCATTTCCCCTCTTTGCCTCCATAGGACAAAGTTCTCTTGTACTCCACCCAGACTCCTAGTGCACCACTCACCTTTTTCCCCTCATCAATTCTTGATTCACCTCTCTTTCATAGACCCATCCGCTTACACGTCCACCCCAAATAATGAATACATTCACCCCCTCCATACTCTCTCCCTCCAATCTGATATCCAATCTTTCTCACCTAATTCTTTTTAAATCCTCATACATTACCCTTTCCTGTATTCCACTTTTAATTTTCTTCTTTTGCATACCTACCAAATTCACCCACCAATCTCTGCAACTTCTCTCATAATCTCCCAAGAGACACAGTGTCATCAGCAAAGAGCAACTGTGACAACTCCCACTTTATGTATGATTCTTTATTCTTTTAACTCCACGCCTTTTGCAAACCCTCTCATTTACTTCTCTTACAACCCATCTATAAATATATTATACAAACCATGTTACATCACACATCCTTGTCAAGCCTACATTTACTGGGAAATAATTTCCACTCTTTCCTAAATACTCTAACTTGAGCCTCACTATTCTGTTAAAAACTCTCACTGCTTTCAGAAACCCTACCTCCTACACCATACACCTCAACATCTGCCACATTGCACCCCCTATCCACCCTGTCATAGGGCCTTTTACCAAATCCATAAATGCCACAAAGACCTCTTTAGCCTTATCTAAATACTGTTCACTTACATGTTTCACTGTAAACACCTGGTCCACACACCCCCTACCTTTCCTAAAGCCTCCTTGTTCATCTGCTATCCTATTCTCCGTCTTACTCTTAATTCTTTCAATAATAACTCTACCATACACTTTACCAGGTATACTCAACAGACTTATCCCCCTATAATTTTTGCACTCTCTTTTGTCCCCTTTGCCTTTATACAAAGGAACTATGCATGCTCTCTGCCAATCCCTAGGTACCTTACCCTCTTCCATACATTAATATACATGTATATCATTAATATGTGACGAGTGTTGCTGTGTTGTTTGTTGTTGGGTGTATAAGGGCCTTACAAAGTGGTGGTGATGGCGGCAGCAGAAGCAACAGTGTTGTCGGTGTTGTCAGTGTTGCCCTATATACTTCCAACAACATTGGAGGAGTCATTTTCGTGTTGTCCTTTTTCTATCGATTAATTGCTTAACTTAACTGCTACACTGCTAATGCTACACTTTATCACTGGCTGGCACTATAGCCTTTATCAACCCCTGCTGCTTTAGTACCGTACATATCGCAGAATTGCTGAAGAAGGCACACATTCTCCCCCCTCTCTCAGCCCTTTACCAAAGGGCTGGCTGGCACTAGAAACTTCCTCTGGGCCCATGATGGCTTATTTAGCAGTTGCGAGCACTAAAAAGAATGGAGTAATACGAAATGTATCACATGAACGCATGGGATCATGCTCACTGGATGATAAACAAATGGCACACTGAGTGTCGGGCCGCCGTTGCTGTGCAGACGTTCAGAACGAATGACTATTACCAAGCTCAATGACAATCACCGAGCCAATATTTTGACGAAAAATTTTTACTATTTCCGAATACTGTATTACAAAATCCGACGACTATGAAATCCGGGGGTCCACTGTAATCTTAGCTCATCTATCTTATTTCTTAGACTCCTACTATTAGTATAATAAACCTTAAGGGAGCTATTCACTTGCTGCCTTCTACTGTCTTTGTTGATCAATTGTTTTGCCTTAACTAGCAACTTTATTTTGAATATTGTCTTTTAAACATATCCCTGAGGTATCCTGGTAATATCTGCTGTTTTGAACCCTAGTACTGCAGTTTGATTGTTTCCCACACATACCCATACTAATATAATCTATCAGTTTAAAGTTCTAGACAAGTTAACAATGACACCACTCAATTGAGTCAGCTAATGTAACCACTCAGGCCCCAGAGAGATGTACCCCATCCCTTGCATACATACACGTTTGCATAGAATATTGTCTAGTTATCAATAAATGGGACTGCAAGTTTGTTGCAGTAACCTGTCTACCCAGCATTTATACCAACTGCCCTAGACATCCATTCATTGACCACTCCACCACTCTAGACAAAATGCTACATATGACTCGGACCCCTCCCTTAGACCTGACATCATCATATGGCTGACTTGTACTTTATCCAGAAGCTTTTGTCTCCTGCCCTTCCCGATGTCATTTCCACCAGCACTAGCAGTAATGGACTGGCCTCCCATTACCTTACATATTATTATCCAACTGTTGACTATGTCACCACACCAGTCTGGGAATCATACCTTTACATATCTGTTAAAAAAATTATCCAATCTCCCGTTTTCCCTTGTCATCACCACCACTCCTGAAGTATATCGTCCATGAGAACAGTTAGAAAAGATCCTATCCAATATCTTCCTATTAACCTTCTACCTGAATGTTCTTGCCATTGAAAGCAGCTGGCAGTCACAGTGGTAACCTCTTCCTCCTTACCAAATCCAACCATCTCACACTCACTCCCAAACCCATCTAGGTGAAGTTTCAGTCTCCTATTCTCCTCCTGAGGTAGAACCTCCTTCTTCAACACTTTAACCCGAGATTCTAAAACACCAAAGCAAGTCATTGTGCTCAGTAACACCCCACACTAATCCCAAGACAGCTAAGGACAGAATGACCTCTCCTGACCATTGACCTCAGTGTACTGACCAATAACCTCAGAGAGCACTGGTTTTTCTTACCTTTACATCGCATAAATCACAACAATTATTGTGAAGCTTGGCAACAAGTTCCTTGGGAAGATTTGGATCAAGCTCAACTGGTACTGAAAAAAAAAAAAGTATTTCTTACCAAGCTATAAAAAGTCTGTATATTCCAATACATATCAGGTAAGAAAATTCAACTACTCTAGGTCTACATTTATTACCCAGGAAAATATTTAGTATTGCCTAAAACTTGGTGGGCAACATTTTGTGATTCAATATTGTTCTCTCAAAATACAGCATATAGTCATCTTTGCAAATCATAGTACAGCTGCAATTTATATTACACATAATGAAAATATTAGTATATGCACTACAGTATGCACTCCCATTAAAACCATAATACTGTACTATACTGAACTTCACACACCAGCACATTCAAATTTTTCAGCTGATTATTACCCTAAAATAGACAAACAACCTTGCTTAGATTAAGCTAAACCCTCAATCTTTTTGTTATAGTTATTCTACCATGCTGCCTAATAATTCTGCATAATTCTTGAAGAATTTAGTTTAACCCCTTGACTGTCGCAACCCCAAATCCTGAGGTGTCTCCTGGTGTCGCAAAATTTAAAAAAAAAAAAAAATGATTTTTTCTTATGAAATGATAGAGAATCTTTTCCTTATTGTAATGACACCAAAAGAACAAAATTTGATGGAAAACTGACGGAATTACACTCTCGCAAAATTAGCAACCTCGGCAATATTTATGAATCGGCGATTTCGCCCACTTTGAGCCCTATTTCCAGCTAATTCCATTGTTCCAGTCGACCAAACTCATAGCGATTTCTTTAGAACTCCATTTGTTCTATCGACTGAGTACAAGAAACTGCCCATTTACCGATTTCAACTACCCAACAGCGTGGTCAGAAATTTGCAATTTGGCCAATTTCACAAAAATTTATGACAATTTCAAAATAGGGTCCAGAATGAACAATGCAGACATTCCTGGCTCTAAAATAACATTTTCTTTGTTCATCAGTCACATCTCCAGGCCCCTCTGATATCACTCTTGCTTTCTATTTTGAATGTTTATTCAAACAAAAAATAGAAGATTTACTGTTATGCAGACTACTGCAATATTGTAATAATTGTATAAATAATGTCAACCCATTCATGACTGCATATTAGAATGGCTACTTGGACATTAATTGGAAAATGACATCATTAGTTTACTTCTGAACATCAGCAAAAATCAAACATTTCTCCTACCTTGAGCTCCATTTCAAGGTTCTTTTCATAGTAAAACCAATCAAAATCACCTCTATTTCTATTTAATATTTTCCATTCTATCAAATGAGATAGATAAGATAAGATTTCGTTCGGATTTTTAACCCCGGAGGGTTAGCCACCCAGGATAACCCAAGAAAGTCAGTGCGTCATCGAGGACTGTCTAACTTTTCCTTTTATTTTGGGGCTCCTTAATCTTGTCTCCCAGGATGTCGACTCACACAAAGTCGACTGACACCCAGGTAACTATTTGCTGCTAGGTGAACAGGACAACAGGTGTAAGGAAACGTGTCGAAATGTTTCCACCCGCCGGGAATCGAACCCGGGCCCTCCGTGTGTGAAGCGGAAGTTTTAGCCACCAGGCCACCGGAAAATGAGAATACAACCATAAATACTATACGAAAATAGACCACAAAGTCGGCATTTTAATTAAAAAAAAACGGTCGGAGTTTTTTTTTCTCATTATGCACTGTGTGCTGCAGGATTTTTTTTATATGGTGGACACTGACAACACAGACCCATTCTCTCACATGAGAGCCTACTAGCTTTCTCCTGCTTGATTTGAAGCCACTAGAATTTATGAGTATATATATATACGTCAAAAACGGTGGCTTAAGACATATATACGACCGAAACAGTCAAATGTTAAAAAGCTTTAAGTAAAACTAAAAATGACAGCATTATATAATCTTACTGAAATTATATACTTACTAGGTCTTTTATTGTTTGGTACTGGTTTAGAGGCTGGACGAGGTTCAGGCTCTTTGCGCCTTGGAACTAAAGGACTACCAACAAAGAGCTCTGGTGGGTCATCATTGGAAGAATCTACGTATGAATCCTCTTGCTGATGATCGTAATCATATGGTCTTCTAGGGGAAAGGCCACCATTACTATGTCTTCGTCTATAGTTTTGTTGGTTTGAATCATATTCAGATGTTCGAGAACGGTATGAACCAGACGAATTTTTTCTGTCTTCTGGAGGATAAAGATGGTGCTGAGGACGTGGATGTCTAACAGGAGGGGGAGGAGGAGGAGGCCTCACTGGGCGGAAGTGAAGAGGCGGTGGTGGATGAAAATCTGGTTCATCATGAGGAAGAGGAGGGGGTGGGGGAGGATGTGGGGGACGAGCATAGCCTCCCCAGTAATCAATGTAATCATCAAACGGTGATCTATTTGGACCATACATACCTGATGAGAAAAATGCATAATTACATAAGGCATAGTACATATAACATTAAAAGCAAATACTAGTACATTAGGATCAGGCAAGAAAAAGCATTCTTTAACCTTAGATAGGTAAACCTCAAAACCACTAACATTATAGGCAGGTCCTGCCTACCCACCAAAGAATGACTTAATAAAAGCTTGTTTTTACAATCTGACAGAGTAAGGCCCTGACTTACAAAATTAATACATTCTTAAAAATTGAAAGTTTAGTGTTCAAAACTTGCAAGTTATTTTTCCCCTAGACACCCATGTTATAATTGGAGATATGTTCCCAAGCCATAATATTCTGTACCTACAATGCTTTTTTGTAACTAAGAATATTTACTCAATATTTTACATTCATCACTGTTACTTTTCACTTACCAACAGTATTAAACTTTGTTTATTAGTGCATACATATTAATTAAACAACAGATTAATCATATAGTATCCAATACAGTAATTAAGTGTAGGGGCAGGTAGCAGTCAGAGAGAGAGGAAAAGGGGTAGGATATGATGGGGAGAGTAGGAAGGCAATGTGTGAAGGCAGTGGTGAGTGTAACTGTGTGAGGGAGAGTATGGTGTGAGGTTTTGTGCTTCACTCAATGAAAATGTTCAGTACAAGGCAGGAGCAGCATCCACAACCCAACCAAAGCACAATCACAGTGGAACCCTGGATATCGGCCGGTGCAGATATCAGCCAAATTGGATTTCAGCCACTTTTTTGGCTGAAATTCTATCCTGGATTTTGGCCGGCAACTCGGAAATTGGCCGTATTGGATGTGTAATAATAATCACTCTTGGGCACATTAAATGTCTTATTTTAGGTTAATATAGACATTTTCATTAATCCATCTATGATATTTTCTTCAAAATTATCTAAGAAACACATTACATAGCATATAAATAGCATATAAACATGCAATGTTTATATGCTAATCAAGGAGGAAGAGGGAGGAGGGTAGAGGGTAAACAGAATGTTTTCTCTGATTCAGCATTAGAGAAAACTGTGAATCTGGCATCTGGCCCGGTCACCGCCCTTCATACGCGTTTGTTTACAATTCTTGGCATGAATTATTCATTACTTCTCCCTTTGTTCATGATGGCATCTAAAGGTAGTTGTTAGAAATTATTTAACTTAGTGAACATGGTATGTCGATGGTAATATGGCTGTGTAGTGTAATAACATGGCTGTGTAGTGTAGCCTAGCCCGGGGGAGGGGGCTACATATATGTACCACTGCCTACACTGACTTCCTACAAATAAATACTACTCACTTCTCATCCTACATTAAGACTACAAATATTTTAAGATAAGTAATGAATGTACTGTGGCAGTAAATGACAAAGAAGGGAAGTAACCCTAGAGAGGGTTCTGATACTTGAAGTCCTTATGGAGGGGGATTCCAAACTCCCTCTCCCCTCCTCACCTTCTTCAGCGTAAACACCCGTCCATCAGACTACCTCATAGGTACCTACCCAAATACGCTATTCCTAGCTCCAACCAACCCCATAGAAGTTACGCTCATCATAAGCACCCTTAAAAACAAGACAGAGACATAAACAGCTTGCCTGCTTTTATGTACAAAAAAGCTTCTCAAGTATTATCACCAACTATTGCAACACTCTTTAACAAATCCATTGAATCAGCTACCCTCCCAACAATCCTCAAAATAGCGAGGGTCACTCTGATCCACAAAGGAGGTGACCAAGCTGACTTGAATAACTATAGACCAATATCTAACTTACCACTGCTCTCTAAAATCTTTGAAAAATTAATTCATAGACGGATCTATTCCTACCTCGTCTCACACAACATATTAAACCCTTGTCAGTTTGGATTCAGGAATAATAAAAGCACAAATGATGCTATCATACACATGCTAGAACTAATACGTATATACCGCACTCAAAAAGAAAGAAGTCCCACTGGGCATTTTCATTGATTTACGTAAAGCTTTTGATACAGTCGACCATGAACTGCTGTACTCCAAATTAACGCACTATTGTATCAGAGGCCACTCCCTCAACTACCTAAAATCATACCTTAGTAACAGAACTCAACATGTGTATGCAAATGATGCAAACTCTTCCACCCAACCAATCACAGCAGGAGTCCTACAAGGAAGCATCCTTGGACCACTCCTCTTTCTCATCTACATCAATGATCTACCGAATGCATCACAGCTACTCAAACCCATATTATTTGCAGATGACACTACATATGTCTTTTCCCACCCAAACACAGTCATACTAGCAAACACGGTCAATGCCGAATTGCAGAAAATATCTGCCTGGATGATGACTAATAAACTTACCCTGAATACTGCAAATGATCCGATTAACATAACGCTAAATGGATCATCAGTCACAAGACTCACAGAGGGAAAATTCCTAGGTATCCACCTTGACAGTAGCCTTAAGTTCCGGACACACATACAACAAATCACCATGAAAATCTCCAAGACTGTAGGCATACTATCAAAGATAAGGTACTATGTTCCACAATCAGCTCTCCTGGCACTACCATACACTCACATACCCTTATCTTACATATGGAATTTGTGCATGGGGATCAACAATATCCAATCACCTAAAACCCCTCATAACCCAGCAAAAGGCAGCAGTAAGAATGATAACGAATTCCCACTTCCACCAGCATACTCCACCAATTTTCAGAAGTCTGAATCTGCTCACCATTAAGAACATCCATACTTATTCATGTGCCTACTACATACACAGAACAATACATACAAATATAAACCCTCCACTCAAACTTCTCCTCACCAACTTAAACAGGACACATGACCACAACACAAGACACAGATCTCTTTTTGATATACCTCGTGTCCATATCACACTATGTAAAAACTCTATGCACATAGGGGGCCCTAAAATATGGAATTCATTACCAGAATATATTAAAGTAACCCAGTCTGAAAATCAGTTTAAGACTCCTCTCAAAAGCCACTTAATCACCCTAGACTAAATGCTAAATACTCAGTACACACATACTCACCTATGTACTCCCACATCATAACTTCAACAATCACTTTGAACCTTTTATCCATTGTTGACAGGAATATAATTGAGCCATGGTTTTTCACAACAAGCATTTTAGACTGTATGAATAATACAGTAATATCAAGCGGCAGCGGCAGCGGCAACCTCCGAGCTCCGTACTTTTCTCCAACTATCAGAGCTACAAATGCTCCTATGATGACCTAGTTACATGCAAAACTGCACTACCCAACGTAGCACCCAGAATGACCAAAGATTACCAACAGTGAAACCTACAAATCGAACATAATAGAGATCAAAGGAAGACTGCCCACAAACCGAAAGCAACACCCCGCTGCCAGCCGAACAACGTAACCCTAAACTTTGTATAACTACAACAACAATTCCTGTAGTATTATGAGGCGCAATCTAAGAGGAAACAGCACCAAGGCCAGAAAGAAAACGCCGAAAAATCAACTATTCAACAAGTGTAGCCAGGAGGACGCCGGCCCAGCAACCACCCCACTCACCACCACTCAAGGCAACACCACAACAATAACAACAAACATGGCTGCCACCAGCCCATCCTCCCCTCTCTTCCCCGGATTCAACCTACCAAGTAGTCTCTCAGGTATGACCAACGATCCAGATACCCTAAAGTCATGCATCTCCAACTTAGTTATTGAAAATATGAATCTTCGAGAGACGCTAACAAAACAAGACACCAGGATGACACAACTCGAGAACAAAATCCTCAGTCTTGAACAAAAGTTATCAACACCAGGAATGACAAACTGTGGCAAGACCATCCAGTCAGTCATAGATAGCCATACCCAACAAATAATATTTCTTAATACAAAGGTTGAAGAAGCAGTAAAAGAATGGAAGAACAACTTAGATAACCAGTACAGCGACTACTTTGCTCTCCAAGAAGATAAAACTGAACAAGATAAACTATCGGACGCAGTAATAGTTAACAGTCCACTTTTTCCCAGTGATATGAACCAAACAAACAGTAAAGAAATTACTCTGCAGATCATAAAGGACCAAACAAGTGTTATTGTACCTGAGTCTGAAATAAAAGAAGCCAGGTTACTAGGATCCCATGGTAGAAAAAGTGTTATGCTTAGATTCCACTCACATGACAGGAAAAAAGACTTAATTATTGCATCTATTAAAGTAAAGAAAGAGGTATACATAAACGAGTGTCTTACCAAAAAACGTCAGAACCTCCTGTATAGAGTAAGAAAACTTAAGCGGGAGAATAACGACACAATACACCAATGCTTCACACGGGATGGGAAAATTCTTGTTAGGAAAACAAATGTAGGTCAACTGTACACAATCACGAACGAGAATGATCTATCACGATTTCTCAGGGATACTAATCTTACAGAGAATAACTAAACAATGTCCAACTTAAAAGCCTACGTAGTGTAGTGTATGTTTTGCTCCATTATTGTTCAAATTTCATTGTACAATCTCTTAGTATTTAAATAATCAACTACCTCTTTTTGTGATTTTACTAGTAAGCATAAGTCACCTTATGTAATTTTCTTATTTACTATTGTTTGCTTAAACATTAGCTGAATTGATACTTTCTCTGTCCATATTACTACCTCATATTTTTTAAATACTATCAATTGATATTACCTACTAAAATTAATAATTATCATTTTTACTATATAATTTCAATTTACTCTTAACATTTTGACATTTAATAACCATTACTTGTCTAATTACCTTTACCTGTTTTATACCACATTTACTATCTTAGAGTACTCTTAATTACCTTGTACTGCCATATAACCTCTAGTATAACTACCAGTGCAATATTGAATGAAATAAAAATTACTTTTTCACTTTTTTTGTAATCATTATTACTTACTAAAATTTTATTAAACACCATATTTACTACCAGTCAATTTTACTTTTGTACATTAAACATTATTTTTTACTTCCCATAACATTTTGTTGCCAAAT